CATAAGGATAATATCAAAAATTCTTAGAACTTGAATAAATGTCACACAAGAAAATAAAGTCTTTCATAGTCTTTTATATTTTAAACCACAAAAAATCTTGAAAAATAAGCTGCAATGTTATGTTAGATAAAAAATATCTTTTAATTAGAAAATCATTATGAGATTGAAGAATACAAAGTCACATAGGTTATTTTAGAATATGTAAATATTCTCCTAAACATAAAAGATCTTTCAAAAAATTGATCTTATTATTATTAAAATATTACTTGATATTACAAATTTAGGAATCTTTAACTATCATTGTAAGAATTTGTTCAAAAAAACTTAAATTAACAAGTGTAATCATAGAAGTAGCATATAGACAAAATTATTGTGGCTTCAAAAAAGTGATATATTGCTAATCAAATGCTCTTTTTTCAAACTTTGGAGTAAGATATGATCTCCTTGATAAATCATGTAATAGGCATTGCTGATTTTTTAGTCAATATGTAATCACAAAATGAAAATGAAATATTGACATATTTCAACAAGCTTGGCAGCAATTCAAAATCCAAGCCGATATGAAATACTCTAAATATTTGTAATCTATATATATAATCATAAAATATGTAGCACCTTCCAAAAAATGACACCTTTCTTAGAAAGAGTCTATAATCACAAGAAATTCTTTATTGTGAATATCAAAATTGATTTCCGTTGCTAAAAACTTTGTAAAATAGAATACAATTAGGTAGAGCTTTCCATCATTTTCCATCTATGATAGTACAATTCATATTACAAAGTCAGAAGCATCAATCTCCAAATAAAAGGCCTTTGTGAAATCTAAATGTAGTAAGATTGGAGTTGTTGTAAAAGTTGCCTTTAAATCTTAAAAAGCCCTTTGTGTTTGAAGTCTCCATTCCAATTTATCTTTGCATGTTAATCAAGTGAAAGGAATATGAATTTGGGAGTAATTCTTGATAAGTATCTGCATATGTATATCCCATACTGTCTTTAGAGTTGTTTATTCCATTATAGCTTAAACTTTCTTTGAATTGATCAACAAGCCTTCATTGGGATATAATATTTCTAAAAAAATCTACTTTTGGTTTATAGAATATATACATTTTTTTAATTTGGCATATAATCCTACATCTTATAATTTTTACAAGAATAATCTCATATATTCTTTAGAAGTCTTGAAATAGATTAAAATATCATCAAGATAGCAATCAACAAACTTATCAAGGAATTTTTAAAAAATATAGCTAGAGGATAGCAATCAACAAACTTATCAAGGAATTTTAAAAAATATAGCTAGAGTATTTGTTAATCCAAAAGGCATGACATTATATTCAAAATATCCATACATTATTCAAAATATTGTCTTTTATTCATCTCCATCTTTAATTCATACCAAATTGTATGCTCTATAGAAATCTATTTTGGTGTAGATCTTAGCTCGACTAAGTTGCTCAAAAAGTCCAGATATCAATGATAATGGATAATGATTCTTTACTGTTATTTTTTTGAGGTTGCAATAATCAATACACATTTGCAAAGATCCATCTTTTTTCTTCACAAAAAATATTTTTATATCTAATAGAGATTTGGAATACCAAATAAATTCTTTTCAAGATTTTTATTAATATAATTCTTTAATGTTAAAAGTTCATTCCATGATATGTTGTAGATTGGACCAAATGGTGGTTGAGACTCTTCTTTAATATCAATGGCACAACCATATGGTCAATGTTCTAGCAATAATGTATATTTTAAAAATAATGTTTTTAAAAATGTTCTTAAATGTTCTAGCAATAATGTATTTTTAAAAACATCTTGATATTCCTTATACTCCTATGAGATAGCTACTAGCAAGCTTGCTTCTTCACGAGCTAGATTTGCATAAATAACAAATAGTATTTCTTTCTTAGACAACTTCATAGAAGTCTTTGCTTTAAAAAATAAGGACTTTTTTTTATTTATAACTGCTTAATAGGTTTTGTTCAAATGAGTTCTTTAGAAAATTCAAACTTATGAAACATCTAATCTATAGATAGATTGTATCTTTTTAACTACAAAAGTCCTAGTATGATAGGATTGGATAGAGTTCTAATAAAATTGAATATTATTTTACTACTATGGCCTTCAAATAATATTTCTAGTAGTATGGTTTTATGAATAATATTACCTAAAGATAAAGGTCGACCATATATTATTCCTATATGTACATGTTTTGGCTTTTGTATTAGAAGAACTTTAAGAAGCTTAGAAAATTCTTCATCAAAAAAAAAAAAAAAAAAAAAAAAAAAAAAAAAAAACACTTTTCAAATTAATAAGGCATTTATTTGAAGTTTTTGTAGGCCAAAGAATAAAGGCGTAATAAAACAATAAGAAAGTTGGGCAGAGACAGAAGAACCTTGATGAATTTGAGGTATTGAAATGTCCATCGACACAGTTCCTATTGTGGTTGGGCCTCTTTGTTTTCTTCAATAATTGCACTCATAGTTTTGGTTATATATTGGACAATTCTCAGATTTGTTACCTTCTTTACTATAATATAAGCATAGATCTTATTAAAATTAACATTTCTTCTCCTTTGTTGGAAGAAGTTTAAACCATATTGCATCAATTTGTATATCCTCAATTCCAAAGTGTGGAAGTAATATATTTATTGAAGTAGCAGAGTACAAATTTCTAGTACATTGCTATGTCAAAGTCCATAAGCGTTGATCTTGATTAAATTGAAATAATTGATTATTGCACTTCATAACTTGGTTGATAGCTTCATTGAATGTTTGAAGATCAGGTAATGATAGCAATAGGTCTTTTATATCATACCTTAATCTCTAATAGAATTAACTCATAAGAGCTTATTCTTTCCAATTGATTTCACAAGATAATTTCCTAAAATCAAATGTACAAATTGATGCAAAGTATGACCTTTGACATAATGAGTGAATCTTTGTTGGTGCCCATCGAGCCATATCATATTCTCTAAATGACTTTGCAAATACTTCTAAGAAAGCTTCAAAGTTGCTCATGATTGGAGATTCTTTTTCAAATAAAAGAGCAAACCAAAATAAGGTTTATCTTATAAGTAAGGCTCTAACTAAATCAACTTGCGACTCTTCTATTAGATAGCGCTCAAGTTGTAGGAAAATTACCAATTGAATTTGGTTAAAAAATCCTTGAAACTTTGAACATGTACTATCAAACTTTTTTAGAAGACTAATTTGAAGTTGAATTGGTAAATTTTCTTGTTTAGGTACAGATGCCACTACTTCTTTACATATAGAAGCTTGAAAAAGTAGTCGCATTATATCCTAACCTACTCCAAGTCTTACATCACCATAAAATCTTGCAAAAAATCATTCAATTTCAATACTTCTACAAGTTAAAGTATTAAGTATGTTTATAATAATATCTAATTTGGACTCAAGAGATTCAACCAAACTAACATCTTTACTTCCAGCCATCGTGAAAATGTAAAAAGGAGTTCCTAAAATAATATCAATTTAGAGGAGAGTATTCTACAGCCTCTAAAGTACTTAAATGCCTTCAAGAAGAAAGATAATTCACTCTCTATTGAGAAGGATCAAGCTCTAGTATTGATAAGAGGGCAATCTTGACAAACTATCACAAATACACTATACAAGAAACCAAACAAGAAGTTGAATGGAAGAATTTCAACAAGAAAGCTAACAAAAACTTCATTAAACCCAATGAGTATAAGATCAACACCAAGAAAGATAAGCTAGAGCTCCAAAAAATATATTATCTAGATTGAGGATTCTTTAAGTCTCAACTCCAATATATTTAAGGTATTAGGAAGCTTCTCAAGAAGTTTTCATATTGCTTGAAGATGAAGCAACCTAAGAAGCTTCTCAAACCACTTACTAAAATATTCTAAGAATCTTTTAAAGCCTTGTAAAATCGAATAGAATATTCTAATAATATTTCTAGAATATTCTTATGGGATGTTTGTAATACAATGTATACATGTACACTTTTAAGATAAGATCATACACAAAATTGTATATGAACTTATTCTAATATTTGTTTTGTATTCCTAACACTTTTAATTTTGCTTCTAGGCCAAAAGAATTAAGTAGTCTATTAGACTTTTTCTACTATATAATGCATTAAATATACCATGTTTTTGTTTCAAAAGTAAATAAATAAAAAATATTATTATTTGTATAATTTTTTAATATTTTATTATATTTTATTATATCTTTAAATAGAATATTTTATTTACAAATTGATGATTTCTATTCAAGTATTATCACAACTTATAAAACAAATTGAAAGGATTAAAGTTTTAAAAATATAGGATTGCAATTAAATAGAAATTATTTGCAATTTTTGTATTGTTTCAAAATGAGAATATATTAATTTATTATGTAGAATTATAAATATTTATTTTGAAACAAATTTTTAATCTATCTTAAGGAATAACTATTAAATTTATGATACATATATATATATATATATATATATATTATACAACTTAAATTAATTTAGAAAACAGTGCTTATAAGATATTGATTAATTTTTTAACGACATTATTTCGAGGCAGTAACAGAAAGGATGTTTTTTAAAAAAACAATCAAAATATACAAATGTGTTATAATATTTGATTTCTACAACCTGTATATAAACAAACATTTGTGGGGCTTTTCTAAAAACATCCAAAACAGAACATTAGTTGTTGAATGCAAGGCACATAATAAACAAGAGGAAACACAAGTTTTATGTCGTTGTAAGGTTTTATCTTAATCAAAGTTAATTTTCCCATGTGTGTATTCACTTTGAATTCAATATCAAAGTGTTCATGTTCAAAGGCAATCCTCCCCCTTCAAAAGCAGAGTATCGGAAGAAACCAAATTAAACATAAACTCTTACATAAATCACAAAATCACCTTTCCATTCCATTATATTTCGTTTTAGTACTCACCTCCATTGGCACGTGGAAAACTCCCTTACCCACAAGACAAACACCAAGAATAACAACGAATTAGGGTTTGGAGCTCCTCACACTCACGCAAGAGACGGACTCAACGTGATCACCGTTGCGCTTGTTTCCTCGTTGCTTTGAGAGCTTGGTGTTGCTTCGAGAGCTCGGTGTTTGTTTCTTCGAGAGCTCGGTGTTTCTTCGAGAGCTCGGTGTTGCTTTGATCCTAGGGTTTCCGTGTGCATGCTGTTCTGTGGATGAGGGGTTAGGGCGCGGGGGTTAGTATTAGCGGCCTTTGAAGCCATGTCGGTCCAGGCGGGAGTGAGCGATGTGGCGATCTCGGTGCGGGAGAAGCTGAGGGGGAAGATTGGACAGACGAAGGTGAAGCGGTACTGGCCTGGTAAGGCTCCAGAATGGGCCGAAGACGTGGAGGAGGAGGCCGATGTGAGGCCGTCAAGGGTTTCTGCGGCAAACAGAGAAGCGCAGTTGGAGAAAGCGTTTTTGCTGCGAGATGAGTTGGATTTTCCTCGGCAGGATGACCCTAGGTTGCGGCGTTTGGCGGAGAGCCGGCGGGACAAGGATGAAGCCGTTGCGCGACACAGACAGATTCGGCAAGCGGAGATTGTGTCGACCCGGGAGGAGGAGAAGGTGGCTCAGGAGCTGGCGGAGGCAGAAGAGGACGAGGATGATGAGGCGATTGAGGAGCGGCGGCAGCGGATTAAGGCGAAGTTGTTGCAGCGGCAACGAGAGGAGGAGGCAGCGTTGGAGGCGGAGTTGGAGGAGGAGGATGAAGAGGACGAGGAGTCTGAATATGAAACGGATTCTGAAGAGGAGTTCGGAGGTATTGCTATGATCAAACCTGTGTTTGTGCCGAAATCAGAGCGGGACACGATTGCTGAGCGGGAGAAATTGGAAGCGGAGGAGGAAGCCATGAAGGATTCGTTGAAGAAGAAGCTGGAGGAGAGGAAAATAGAAACGAAGCAGCTTGTGGTTGAAGCAATTAAGAATGAGGAGGAAATTGAGAAGAACCGAGAAGCCGAGGGTGATGGTGGAGAAGTCGATACTGATGATGAGACTAATGAGGCAGAGGAATATGAGGCTTGGAAAGCTCGAGAAATTTCTCGCATCAAGAGGGACAGGGACGCCCGCGATAAATTGCTGAAGGAGAGAGAGGAGGTTGAGAAGCTAAGGAACATGACTGAAGAGGAGAGAAGGGAATGGGAGAGGAAGAACCCTAAGCCATTGCCACTTAACAAGAAGAAGTGGAAGTTTATGCAGAAGTACTATCACAAGGGTGCCTTCTACCAAACAGAAGCTGACGACAGGGATGGAGCTGGTGGAGAAGAGATATTTAGGAGAGACTTCTCTGCGCCCACAGGGGAGGACAAAATGGACAAGACTATACTACCGAAGGTTATGCAAGTCAAGCATTTTGGTCGCAGTGGGCGGACGAAGTGGACTCATTTGGTCGCTGAGGATACAACTGACTGGAATAACCCGTATGTCCTCAAACTCTATCCCCCCATCATTATTGCCCTTGTAATGATGACCTTTTAGCCTTAGAAATTGCGTTGTGGTTGCAGGATGGCAAAGTTGTTTCCAGTTAGTGAATACCTTCATTGCGTTTTCATTGATTTGAAGCTAAGAGTGATCAGTTTTTTCAAGCCCGATGGCAGCAATCACTTGGTCATTCGAAATCGTCTTGCTCATTTTGCACTGAATTTTCAGATGGTAGTCTGAATGGTTTTCAGTGAACGTGTCGCTATTTTTCACATGCTTCTTGCTGCTGGATCTCATGGTGGGGAAATATTTATCACGTTTCTAATTGGAGCGTTCACTTTGGTTGGGAATGCGTAGTGTAATCTGGTGTAGCTGGCTTAGGGCTGGTGGCTGCTGTTGGAATCAGAATGGTAGTAATAATCTCTGCTTAGTATATTTTTTCGAAGAATATTTCCGCATTTTCCGCACCTGAGTACTTATTTGACTTATAAAACTATCTCTGGTCGCAGATGGACATACAATGATCCTCTACGAGCAAAGTATAATCAGAAAATGGCGGGCATGAACAGACCGATTGCGAAACCCGCTGGCAACAAAAAGCTGAAGGACTGGGAAAATTCTTAGTCATGTATATAGAAACTGCAGTTCGCCATTTCTTTAGTTTTTTTACATGATGAACTTAAATCAACTTGTATTATTTTATTTTTTTAAAAAAATCAGAAGAATAGAATCCATTGGTGTTGATGCTGTGCCTGGTATCGACTTTGTTTTTTGTGAGTAGGTTAGCTTGTTGATAGGCGTACTGGGATTGTATTGAAAAGTTTGATGAGAAACACAAGCAGAGAACGTGCTCCGGTCGAAGATCTGTTTTGGGGACATCCAATGAAGATTGTGTCACAGTTGTAGTCTTATTTTCGATCCTCACAGTTGGTAGGGCAGCTCGGATTTTGCGAGACTGGAGTCTTAAATCCAGGCTCATTTGATCCAGCGTGACCTTCAACAGCGCGCTGCTTGCTTCTTAGGGGACCTTTCGAAGAACCCTTGAACTTACTTGCTTTCTCTGAATTGAAAACAAATCAAGTCAGGTCAGGGCAGCATTGACACTAGCTCACGATACCCCTTGATTTTTCCATCGTTCACGCTGGAGGCCACTTTGGTGTCTTCCGTCGGTCTGGAAGTTTCTGACAAGGTAGGAGTTGGAGGCAAGGCAGCTGATACCTTCACAGCATTCTCAGGGGTTGGAAAAGGTTCAGAGTTTGCTTCACCTTGGGTTGTGGATCATAGGTTCATCCAATTCGGTATATCCCAACATGCTGCAAAGGCCAAATCAACGAATGTGAGCAACTTTGTAACACAACATCAAGACAAGTGTATAGCCACAGTTAAAAAAACGTGGAGTATATATACCCCTTTGCCAAGGTTCCATAGAACGTCATACTCTGCTGAAGCTTCATGGACAGCTGCCTGCTGTTGCGCTATCACCCTCGACCACAAAGCTCCCTGTAATGAAAACAAATTCAACGCTCAACATAAATTGACGAACCGTATCATCCTGTATGTTTCAGTCCATTCAACCCACTTCCTAAACCCGCAATCCTAGCCGCCATAATAAGCATCAATACTATGGAAATATCATTTCTGCAGCAAGGCTTAGCATCGCTGAACTTACCGCAGTTCTCAGCATCTCTTAACTTG